TTTACAGTACTATGGCTGGAGCGTTTCTGGACAAAAGCTAGCACTTCACCACTCGGGCTCCAGGCCAAAGAGCACATCGGTCGTTGATTTACCACCTGGGGGGCATATCGGATATCAGTCTGGGTGAAAACACCGGCCTCACCAGCAGTCCACAATAGATCTTTCGAATGCCAGAGTAAATCGGCAGCATGAGATTCGTACCGATCAAACTCTCGGAATGGTATATGAGGGCGCCGGAGATCCCAGAGATGTATCCGTGGGTCTTCTTTGTCATAGGATGTTACCAATTGAATTGACTGCCAACCACCGGAAGCATCATATTCGTTATTCCAGGACGGCGGACGCCATCGTACGTTCCCAACGGCCTGAGGTGTCCGGAATTGGAACGTTGGTTTTTGCCTACGTTCAGCTGAGGAAGAGAAATCCCAAACTTTAACATGTCTGTCTGTACCACCACTGACGATGTGTTTGCCATCAGGATGCCAGTCTACTGAGAAGCATGGCTTGTCATGAGCAGTGATCCTTAGCAAGGGGGCGGAAGTTTTTCGGTAATCCCACAACTGTATTGCACCACTGTCCGTGGCGGTTGCAAATGCAACCCCGTCGCTCGGAGACCACCTGATATCCCGAACTGCATCGCTGTTCCCATTATACAACTCTTTACTCGAACATGGCCGGACTGCGGATGCCATGCGCAAGTCCCACATTCGAATAGAGGAATCCTGGCTTCCAGACAAAAGCCATGCCGGCCAATGTGGATTAAAAGCTAATTTGTGGACCTGGCGGCTGTGCCCCTGAAAGCGGCAGTATTCCAGGCCAGTGCGATGTAGATCGTAGAGAACAATGCGGCCGTTGGCCACTGCAGTGGCGATGATGGTGTCATAATTGCCATGTGACCATTTCACATCCCGCACTGTCAGCTGGTCTTTATAGCGTGCGGAGAGTCCACTGCCATCATTCTGAGTGGAGGAGTAACCGATGATAGCATTGCGAAGGTTGAATTCTTCAGAAGAATGGTCGGGTGAGACACGGATGGTCTTCAAGATCTCTTTACCTCCGACTACTGCATGTGTCCGTTGAGGAGAAATATCTAAAGCGGCAATCGGAATCCCGGTCTTATGAGTGACCGTTTGGGACGCTCCTGGTCTAGCAGGGTTGTTAGAAGATTGCTGTCAAGCCTCGTTGGCAAGATGGAAAGCTGCATATTGGAGGTGCGACTTGTTCAAGTAAAGATTCTAAATGAAGCTGGAGCAAGGCTATGCGTATACGGGAGGGGAAAGGCGGAAAAGCGTGACGAGAAAGAAGAAGAGCATTTGGAAAGGGAAACTATACAAGGACTTGGACCTATTAGAACAAGGACCGGCAGATAGGTCTGCACGAACCCCTGAGGCCTGCGGACTTGGAGGTCGAGACCCAGAAAAGAAGGGCTGGGCAAATCTTGCTAAAGCACTGGCCGCGCGGTTTGAATATTTGCTTTGTTGCACGGGGGCAGGTGGAGGAGGAGGGGGAGGAGCTGGGGAGGAACTGCCTCGGGTGGGCAACCGAGAGCTATCGGACATCCTCAAGAGGCCAGTCAGTCACGACTTAACCCGATAAGGGATGAAGGTCCATGTTTGACAAAGTTCCCGCGACGAACAAACAAAAAGAGGGAGCTGGTGGAGGTGGGGAATGGGAGTAAAGGAGGGGGCTTTAGAAGGCGGAGCTCCCTGTTGGAGACACTTTGGAGATGCGATGCGCTCGTGACTGACTAACTGATTAGATGGGTGGCTGCCTTAGGACCCCAGATGAGGCTTAGTCAGCTCCTGTAAGAACGTTTGACCAGAGGTCTATACTTGGGTGATCAAGAGTAAGCAATTGGATTGATTCATGTGAGGTGCATGAAGCAAGTCAGTACTAGGAGTAAGCAAGTCAGCAAACCTGAGGAATGTGAGGGAGAATTAGTGACCACTCGAATAATAATAGAGTGGCGAGAACGCGTGATGTGTAAATTTAGCGCCAGTTTGGGGGAGGTTTCCACCAGAGCATTTGGTGAATCACATCCAGTAGGTAAATAGAAAAGGAAACAAACTAGAGGCAACCTTACTTCATTCCTACGAACACAACGATTCATCCTGTTGAGTCCGAGGTATTTCTTTTGTTTTTCTTTTTGTTTTTCCTTTTTTTTTTTCCCTTTAACCCGATTGTATCATACCATACCGGCCCTTTTCTTGCTTTCTTAAGTCGATTTTTTATTTATAATTATTATTATTCTTTTTATTAATGATATTTCTGAATTAATTAACTCTTCCTAGTTCCACCTCTAGACCTGTCCAGGTGATGGATCCGAAGAGTTAAGTATCCAATAACAAAGTTAGGACAATGGGGATTTGAATTGACACCTGAGTGATGTGTACAATTCATAGTTGTTGGTTGAACTCATCTGGCAGGATGTCGTTAAACGTCTTCCATGAATGGATCCAACCAGCCGGTATGCATGCTAAAAGCGGTGTGCGACGTACTTGTACACACAGACACGCTTGGAAGTCATAGCTACTACCTACTTAAATTCATCGTGTATTCAGAAGTAGTTAGCGGTACGGTGATGTATGGCGGTATGGATGTATTTATTGTATTGCGGATTGACTGGGATGAAGACAGAGTATCCACCGTTAATGTAGTCAGGCCGATTAATGGTGATGACACACTACGTACTCATTACTAGATGTCTCAGACCAGTCTCACACGAATTGACTAAGATAAGACAGTCAGACAACTTATGTCTGGATCCGAGATGTACCTTACGTACATACGGTGTACGTAGGAGGTACATATTTACATACCAACGACACTTTTGTGTTAGATCATCCGGACCTTCGGGACTCCTCAGGTGGGACAAACTAAAGCGACTCGTCGGGTAGACGACTCAGGGTGTAGGGTAGTCCTCGACTTGAAGAATTGATTTCCCCCGCATACTCCTGACCTGAATCAGGGTCATCATTCCACTCATTTGGTGGTGGTCTGGTGATAATTGCTCTTTGATTATGGTTCATTTGGTTAGTTTGTTCTTGAAGAGGGTTAAGCCAACATGGGTGTGTTCAAGAAGGACAAATAAGCATGTTCAAAACGACTTCCCCATCACGGATTGATTAATCATACTACAATATAATATGATCATATTAATTAGAAGTGTAACAAGCTAAATCAATTGTGAGATGAGATGATACTGCCCCTGGCACTGAGCTATCTCTCAGCCACCTACACAGGGCGCTAAGGCGATACCTTGGTTTCGAGAAAGACAACAAAAAGAATGAGCCCTCCAAAAGAAATGTAAAGGATGGAGTAACTAAGGAGAAATGATCTATCCTTTTTACCAAGGATTTACACTAACCTATTCTGAGGCCAATGAACATGGATCAAGGTGCTTCGAACCCATGCAATGCAGCTTCCACAATCCAATCCTGATCCTCGCAGCGATCGGTTTGTGCCACCATCCATTCCCCTGCTCCATCGAGATCTGTCACGAACACATCCCTACATACTGTGTAATAATCGCATCTATTAATTATTCAACTGCCTTTTTCTTTTTTGATTCTTTTCTTTTCTTTTGTTTTTCTTTTTCTTTCTTTCTTTTTTTTTTTTTTTGGCTTCCCCTCTAGTAATCTTCAATCTTACCACAACATCCCCACGAGGGCCGGAGTTGGCTCCTTTTACATACTGGTACATATCTCGTTACACGATAATTATTTAGACGATGTCTGCAGCATTAAAATGTCTTTAGAATATTATCCAACAGTTAAGCTCCCAAAAGTTTATATTTCAGCATCTCGAGTTCGCGCTTGTGTTCGGTCTCCGTGTAATGCTTTCCCAGGGCGGTTTCTCCGCTCAGGAGGGATCAGCGATATCATGCATGGAATTTATTATTTATTATTTATCACTTATCATTTATTTTGCAGTTTCTTTTTCTATTTTTCCTTCTTCTTCCTTTCAAACATACATTCCAATCCCTGTTACCATTGGGCACGAACATCTCAAATTCAATCCAGGCAGCTCATGGGCAGCGTCCAGGAGGGAGGTAAGTATGTGAATATTGACGCGGTTCCGAAAAGATCCAGGGTTGGGAATATGATGAAAACGGCTACGTACTACTCCGTACTAGTTCAATCTCTTTCCATAGCAGCAAGGTATCGCCGTAGATGATATCAAAGTACATGTAGGGAAAAAGAAAAGAAGAACATTAAGCAAAAAAAACCTCCGATTCGCATCAAAAATCATTCGAAGAGTAGGAGGAATATGGCCCGCCAGTTCAGAAAGTTTTTGATATGCCTTGGGCAATTTTCGTTCCTCGGTTGAGTTCTTCTATCCTATTTCCCCATTAATTATTCTTGTTATTTATTTGTTTTAGATTTTCCCTTGCCTCTTTGCCATTTCTCCCAAATTTGCCTCCGGAACCACTCAAGCTCAGCTGCTTTCTGGGACTCTGGGTCAAACTAGTCTACTCTGGGTAGTTCTCGACTTCAGATTCGCATGCACACCGTCACTCTTCCTCGACCGTCCGAGTACTATTTGTATCTTTCCAACGATCATTTCCTCTCGTGTATCTTTTCTCTTCTCTTCTCTCTCTCTCTCTCTCTCTCTCTCTCTCTTTCGCTCTCTTTTCCCTCTTTCCTTTCCTCCTCTCGTACTCCTCGGTCTCTTCCGGTCTTCTTTTTATTCTTCTCTGCTATACGCTTTAATTCATTCCCGTTATTCTTGAGGTTTCAATTTTCCGTCCGGTTTTTACTTTGGTTCCCCCCATATAACCTTTTAGTCAATCCACGCATACTCTTCTCTTGTAATTAGTTCAAAAATTTTTTTTCTAGAGTCTTCATATTTTCTTTTTTTTTTTTCTTTTTTCCCCCTCTTCCCCTCTTGCTCACCTACCTCAAGAAGACCCCCCAAAAAGAAATATAAACAAACGAGCAAGACGAGTGAAATATTGTCCCGCGTGTCTGCCGGTCCCTTTCAGAAACACTACAAATCCGGCCCTTTGATTGACTGATTCGGGTCTGCTGTTCGCTACTCAGTCGTTTCCAAGTCAAGTCCAACCTCATTAATTCCTTGCTGCACTCGGGCTTTACGGGAAGGTGCGATTGCTGTGTCATGGAAATATCCTATGGTGGTTTGATCTGAGCTTGTTGGACCCTTGTTGGAGGACTGTTCAAGATGGACTCTCACCGCGCAACTCGCCAATTGTTGGAGTACCTTCGCACTGGCTATCCAATACTCCTCCTCCTGGTCTTCATATCCGCCTTCGTTGCCAATTCTGTCCTTGCCGCCAAAAATGCCAATAATTCTCCCACCGCAGCGCAGACAGGTCCTGGCGGGAGACCGCTCCCCAAACGGTCAAGAAGTACGATGGCAGTCATGAAAACCCCCCAGAAATTCTCTCAGAATACTAGATCGTTGTTCAGGTGGTTGTCTGTGGGTATACTATTGACCGTTCTTGGGGATGCAGCCGTCAATGTGGCACATGTGATAGTCTCTAGATCGGAGCAATGGTGGTGTGGACAGTCCGTTGTGGTAAGTGCCGTGAATTTAATGGTGATTATAATCAGTGCAGCATTTAATACTTCATAGATCTACGTTGTGGGCTCGTTCTTTGTCTATTCGATTATCCTCGTCTCGTTATTAGATACAGATCCGTCTCCGACATTTGCGCAGTTTGTCCCTTGGTTGGTAGCAGTGCCCGTCGAATTAGCTATATTGGGTATCTCTTCCTCGATCAACGCTGGCAACCATCATGAGCCAGTTGTGGGAGATCCGACTGGGGGTCGTTTGCAGAAAGGCGTGACTTTGTGGGAACTTACGGAGCTCATCTGTAACTGCGTCAGAGTGCTGATCCTTAGCACATTGGTCGCACTTTACGTGTTCAGCTCTATTAGGATGTATTCTAGTTCCAGAAAAGTCCCAAGAGCATATGCCAATGGCGCTTCTGAAACCACAGGGTTGCTGGACCCTTCTCATGCGGAGAACGGGAACGCTTATGGCTCAACTCCAGCCAACCAGCAGCCTACTAAACCCGCCGATGCATGGGTTCGACCAACTACTGTTCCATCTACTAGCTGGTGGGAGTATCTTAGCGGATATTCGCTATTTTTTCCGTATCTCTGGCCGTCGAAGTCCCGTCGGCTGCAGATCGTGGTGGTTATATGTTTCATCCTGATTGTTTTGCAACGTGTTGTCAATGTTCTGGTGCCTCTCCAGGTTGGAGTTATCACCCGCAAATTGACTAAAACGGGCGATGGCTTTAATGTACCATGGTTTGATATCTGTCTGTACATCTTGTTTCGGTGGTTGCAGGGTAACCAGGGCCTGATCGGTTCATTGCGTTCCAGTCTTTGGATTCCTGTGAGCCAATATTCTTACATGGAGCTTTCGACTGCGGCTTTCGAGCATGTGCACAGTCTTAGCCTTGATTTCCATCTCGGCAAGAAGACCGGTGAGGTATTATCTGCGCTGAGCAAAGGTAGCTCTATCAATACCTTCCTCGAACAAGTCACTTTTCAGGTCGTGCCCATGTTAGTCGATCTTTGTGTTGCCATTGTCTACTTCCTCATTGCGCTTGATGCTTACTATGCTTTGGTCGTCACCATTGTGACATTCTGTTATCTTTATGTCACTGTCCGCATGGCACAATGGAGAGCGGAGATTCGGCGGCAAATGGTCAATGCTTCAAGGCAAGAAGATGCAGTCAAGTAAGTTTCATGGCGCTTATGCTCTGGTACATTGGATTTGCTAACCTAGTGGCTTATAGGAATGACTCCATGGTATCTTATGAAACAGTAAAGTACTTCAATGCCGAGGACTATGAGTTCGGCAGGTACCGAGGAGCAGTATCGGATTTCCAACGGGCTGAATACCACGTTCTATTTTCTTTGAACCTAATGAATACCTCTCAGAATACGGTTTTTATGCTTGGACTATTGATTGCCTGTTTTATTGCTGCATATCAGGTCTCACTGGGACAGCGGGACGTTGGTGAATTTGTGTCGCTTCTCACATATATGGCGCAGCTCCAGGGCCCTCTGAACTTCTTTGGCACGTTCTACCGTTCCATCCAATCGGCATTGATCAACTCGGAGCGGTTGCTAGAGCTTTTCAGAGAACAACCAACGGTTGTTGATATGCCTAGTGCTACTCCTTTACCAGTCTGCAAAGGTGACATTATCTTTGAGAACGTCAAATTCTCATATGATAGCCGCAAACCTGCCCTGAATGGCCTTACTTTCCGCTGTGAGCCGGGAACGACAACGGCCCTGGTTGGTGAATCTGGTGGTGGCAAATCCACCGTTTTCCGTTTACTCTTCCGTTTCTATAATTCCGAATGGGGCCGTATTTTAATCGACGGGCACGACGTGAAAAACACCACAATTGATTCTCTCCGGAAGCATATTGGCGTTGTGCCGCAGGATACTGTGCTCTTCAACGAGACGTTAATGTACAACCTGAAATATGCCAACCAGAATGCGACAGACGAAGACGTCTACGAGGCTTGCAAAGCTGCCAGTATACACGACAAAATCATGTCCTTCCCAGATAGATATAACACCAAGGTCGGTGAACGTGGTCTACGACTCAGTGGAGGGGAGAAACAACGAGTGGCTATTGCTCGTACCATCTTGAAAAATCCGCGTATCATTCTTTTGGATGAGGCTACAGCCGCGTTGGACACCGAGACAGAGGAACATATCCAGGGAGCTTTGTCCACTCTTTCTCGCGGTCGCACCATGCTTGTAATCGCTCATCGACTAAGCACCATCACGACTGCGGATCGCATCCTAGTCTTGCATGAGGGCAAGGTCGCGGAGAGTGGCACTCACGATCAACTCCTAGCCATGAAAGGCCGCTACGCCAGTATGTGGCGGAAGCAAATAAGAGCGCAGAGGGCAGCGGCAGAGGCCCAGGTACTTCAAGATCGTGCCCAGCGCTTGCGCAGTGCATCCGCCTCGGGCGTTGTCGGAGATGATAGTTCTAGCCAGTCTGACGAGGACCGGAATGGTAACCCTCATGCGTCTGCGATCCGACAGACACAGGGCCATCACTGGCCCGCGCACGATCAGAAGGCATAGAGCAGGAACCGAATACGTCAGCGCGGGGAGTTATCCCAGGCGTTGTTTTCAGTCACATATAAAGAGCTTATACTTAGAGTGTCCGAGGGATGATATATCAGTCTGGGGTTGTTTTTGTCCTTTTTTCCTTTTCCCTTTTTCCTTTTTTGCTTTTTGGGAAGGATTCACTTACAGGGATACACTTTTCTTTTTCGTTTCTCGCCGTTGTTCCAGCCCTGCATTACTTATCTTGTTCCATTCATTTAAGTCGGTAAAAATGGCGTTCTAAGTGACTTACGACTTGTATGACGCACTCTCTTGTCAATTCATACGAGACTTGCTGAAGAGGCAGCAGGTTAGGGTTGGATCCGTGAATATATTTCCTAGACCAATTACACTTTGAAAATAATGCATGATACTCGTCCATAGCAAACCATAATACGAACTGTGAAATCTTCCACATCACTCGGTATCTTTGAGGATTGCTTGGATGCGAGCGGGCTACTGCTCGAGGTGACTAGGCGCAGTAATATTATCGCCAACAAACATAAGAGAGGTCAAAGAGGGTAGGCTACTCTAAAGCGCCTGAACTGGTAAATGGTTGGTAGACATTTCGAACATTATATGTACAGAATGGCATAAAGCATTACATATACACGCTCTAAATTCGTTTGAGGAACTTCTGTGGTATATTCTTTTCCACGATCTGCATCCTCTCAAGCTGTTCAAGTCGATAGGCAGCGTCGTCTTCCTCGTCATGCCTCCGGAAATGCTCGATATCTTCTGGATGAGTGAGGTCTTCCTCCTTGGCATCATCTCCATGATATTTCTCGAAATGATGAATTTCATATTCATATTCGATGTCGCCATGGTGGCCAGGTCCAAATCCGAAATCAGGCAGACGCTTGCCCTCGGCAATTAGGCGCATCCAATTATCTCGAGTAACGAATCCAGTGTTCCCAGGGTCAAAAAGCCCGAATACTTCCCGGACAGCCTGTTGCTTGCGCTCTTCGCTCACACCTGCATTTGACTCATCATCGAGACCATATGTCTTCCGTACCTCATCGGCTGTCCATACCCCTGAGTTATCATAGTCGTGGAAAGTAAAGAAGGATGCAGGATCAAAGGAATCAATGTGGTGCTCCTCTGTCATTTACGGATATTAGAAGGGTTCCTCTAGACTCCTCCGGAGCAATTGAACTCAGTAACGCACCTTGCATGTGCCGAGTAGCCCAGTCCGAAGAATGATTCTGCTCACTCGAGTGAGACCCATGAGCGTCCGCGAAGCTGCCGCTCAGGGCAAGCAGAACGGTAGCAAGGGACACGGAGCGGCCGAGCATTTTCAATTTACACAACCCCAAAATTGTGTAATAAGAAAAATATTAAGATTGTTTCAGTATACAGCCAGTAACGACTATTTTCAACCCTGTTGATGTGGCCTTTTTTTGAGTGCTAACACCTGGATTCGGAGAACGAACTGCTCATTCAGTAGATATGCTGTTTGCAGTGTTTGCATCCGCTCCGCCGAAACTTACGACTTTTTGTCCGACGGCACATGAACCACTTTTCCGTTTTTGCGGTACACGCTCCCTTGTCCCGACATACGCCATTGAGCCCCTAAGGGCAAGCTGCGAGTATCGCCATTCTTTGTCATTGGAATTCATCTTACAGGAAATGTTGCGGTAATGCAGAGCCTTTGGTCCCGGGCCGCCTCGGCGCGCTCGACTTGTCATTGCGTTTCTTGTCTAAGCATAGCGACTCCCGGACTAACGTCAAGGGCGGCATCAGCAGCCAGTAAGAGACGGCTAAGAATTGGAAACTCGGTCACAGCACTATACACGAGTATTTTTGCGGCGGCAGCTTTAGCTGATGCCCAAGCCAAAGATCAACGACGCCATGAATGGCAGGAGAAGATTGCTGCTGTGAAGGAAGAAGTGAACGAGTTAGTGGACGAGGAACAACGCCTTTTGGCAACTATTTCAGCACGACGGAAGCGGAGATCATTATTTAATGGAGTGTTAACAAGCCGACAATACAGCACTGTTGCCCCATCATCACCAGGGCGAATCCGAAGTTCTATAAACGATATACCATCACCTTCTCTCGCCGCCGACGCCCACTGGCAAGATACCTATGAAACTCGACTTAGGGATGGCTTTGAGTCTTATTCCGATGAGAGTGATGAGTGTGACAGTAAAGCCCTGGAGGATCTGGTCGCAGAAAGTGAGGACCCATTGTGGAACGATTCAAACGAGGAGTACGGCTTCAGTCTTGCGGACGACACTTTTCCCGAGTGGCTGTCATACGACATAGTCCGCCAGAAGGTCATACGGAAGCTTGCAGTGAAACAGCTTGCTATACGACTCTTGCTACGTCCGGCAATTGCGCACTCTTACATGGGGCTTCGGATGAAATATATTTCCGATGGTTCAGTGCCCAAGTTGAATGTAGCGGAGCTCCTACACGAATTGAATCAAATACGGCTCAGGTTACAGGAGCTGAAGTCAACAAGAGATATAAATATTGATGATTTGGCAAGGGATCTTCGTGTACGCAACCTCAAGGAAATGGCTTGGGAGAATCAAAAACTCGACCAGGAGATTCGCCGCGACATAGAATTATTCCTCGAAGGGCCTATGTCTCTTCAAGAGCTTCTTCTGAGGTTGTCCAGCAACCTGCTGCAGGCTACTGATCCCGACAGACCGTATTGCCTGAGGATGATGCTTCTAGCGTTCACCAAATGTCGTCAAAATGACCTAGGTGACCTGGTCCTAAAGACATTATTGCCAAACAAATTTCCATTAAACTCCTCTTTGATTCTCTCGATAATAACCTTTTACCGCAAGTCCAAAAACCTCAGAGCATTCGATTTGTTTATGGAAATGCTGTGTGGGGATAGCTACCCGGTAGACATGTCCAACATGGGGTATTTTAAGCGGACAGTGATCAATGGCGTCGAGATCTCAATACCTCCCTCGCATACCACTAATTCGATTATGTTCTCTACATTAATCACAACTTGCCTGCGCTTCGATCAGCCAGACCGAGCCGATGCCTATCAGCAAGTCGCAAGAGCGGCAGGGTATATGGATGATTTTTCAACCCTTTTCGCCTATTTAAAATTTTACGGTATTCGCCGTGATTGGAAGAACGGGGTGGGAGCCATCAAAAGAGCTTTGGCTTTCATGGCATCGTCCACGGAACACGAGTTATACCGTGTCGAGAGGTTGGTAGTATTGATGGTACATCTTTGTGATGTTTGCGAAAGATACGATGTCTCCGAGGCCATTATCGTAGCCGCGGTCGAAAACGGGTTTGACTGGAGGACTGCACAGAGGCAGGTAGACGTCAAGTTCTCATTTGATCCTCACTTTCGCCGATGGCACGTAGCTGAGGATGCGTCAACTATGGGAGCAATCAAGGAAAGGCCACTGTGGGAGAGAAGTTATGCCTTCGTTAACACGGTCGGAGAACAGCTGAACGACCTTTCCCTGCCTGAGGAGGAAAGTTCTGCGAGGAAATGGCATAAGCTGGTGGGAACATACTCCCAGGAAGTTCTATCAGCTGTGCTCGCTGGCCGCCCTGCCGAGCATAAGAAACCCGAAGAGGACGGGCAACGGAACCTGCTCAAAACCTTTGACGTGGAGAACAACAGATTCTATAACGCTGAAGCTACGGCAAAAGCTCACCAAAAAGAGATCATTGCCCTGAAGGACCAGGTAGCGCAGCTGAAACGAATGGTCTTTGACTTAACAAAACAATCTACACTCGGCCATTCCCAGTCTAGTCCCCGAGAACTTGGACAATTAAAGGACAAGCTTCGTCATAACCCGCGCGTGCTCGAGCCCGCAGTAAACATTCGATACGGTGGAAATTGAAGTCTTAACGAGTGATATCCTCCCAATGTCCACCTGGCGCATTGTGTTCATAGAAGGATCGGGTTGGAAAATGTGTACATCATAGGTGTTTATTGAAGGGCGTACGTTTGGTCTCTATTCTCATATCCTCTGCTATATATGTTGATACCTGCAAGGTTTGTACATTATTACGACAGAAACTAGATTTTCTCATCTTCAGGCTTTGTTAGTCTGGACTTCTTCTATAGCCTCTTACCTTCCGTATGTGGACTGTATCGATTATGGCTTCTATTAAGGGAAATTGTGCCCGAAGAATTCATTCATTCTTTTATTCTCATAAAAATATCGGCAAGTGTCCTTTCTATACCATTAAGGACATTGTGGGTAGTCTCGGGTCTAACTGCATCCCATCGGGATAGAAAGTGATCAAGCTTCCGTAACAGAGCCTCACGTAACTCAACGTCCAGGTGGTTCACAGACGGAGAGGAAGTATCTCTTTAGGCCAACGCCCCAATAACTTAAGATAGCATAAGATGTCAAAAGTGATAAACAAATCTATAAACGAAGCATGGACAATAGTTTAACGCCTCCGGCTAGAATCGCTACGCAGCTTCTCTTTACGAGACAGTCTTTCTGCGGCACGAAGCAATGCAGAGCGAATTTCGCCCTTAGGGAAGGTCATGATGTCATAATAGGTAGGTGCGATATCCTGAAAGACCATTAGCCAAAGGCGTATTATGGTGGGAAAAAAAGCAAGTGAAACTTACAATGAGCCACTCAGGCTTAACTGCTGTAACGGTTCTGATGTAGTTCTTGGTCGTGAGCACGAATTCATTGTACACAACCCAATCAGCGTCATAGCTTAGAACAGTCGACGGGTGCAAGAGGACGTTCTGGTTATCCTTAATAGTCGTGTATTTGCTTTTGCCTTGAGATTCCTTCTTCGCAACCTGCATGAAGAATCCAGCACAGAGAGCACGTCGGATGTTTTCGTAGTACTTTTTGTCCTCAAATGGCGTCGAAACCATTTCCAGCTCCTCACGCTCCATGATCCGCAGGAGCTGCATGCGCACATTATCTGCCGACTGGAGGGATCGCAGGGAAAGAAAATGATCATGGCACCACTGCTTGGGGTTCTCTTGTGCATCTTGGCCCTTGAAAGCATGGTATACGTTAAGGAGGGTAAGGTGGTCACCATCGGGGTGAGCAAAGAGGTTCTTCATCTCATCCGCCCGCTTTCGTTGAGATGCTGGTCTCACGAACACCTGAGGAACCGAAAGCAATGCTGTGATAGAGAGGATTTCATTTGAACAGTAGAATTCGGGCGAGCTGATCAGCATAACCGCAACCGCAGGATCAAGAGGAAACTCCGAGGCAAGACGTCCAAGTTGGGTTAGGTTGCCATCATCATCAAGACAAGCTAAGTAATTAAGCTCTTCGAGAGCTCTCATAAGCGTTTCCGGAGCCGGGGGGTCCATCAAGTCGAAGTGAACAAGGTCATCAATTCCAAGCTTCTTCAACTCTAACACAGTTGATGAAAGGTTGGACCGTAAAATTTCCGGATAGGTCTGGTCAATCAGTTCCTTCTTAAAGGCACCTTCGGTGTAAAGACGGAAGCACTTTCCGGGACGTGTACGACCTGCACGACCGGCTCTTTGTTGTGCAGAGGCTTTAGAGATGGGCGACACTAGGAGGGACTCGACACGAATGCGAGGGTTGTAGATTTTCTGCTTCGAGAAGCCGGGGTCCACGACGTAAACGATGCCATCGATTGTGAGCGAAGTTTCGGCAATGTTGGTAGAAACAATAACTTTTCTACCGGGACGACCTCCAGGGCGACGGGGTGGTGGAGCCGGGTCGAAGATGCGTTGCTGCATATGCGGAGGAAGACTACCGTACAGTGTATAGACTTTCAAGGGGCCAGCATCGACTTCTCTCACCATCTCATCTGCCTCCAGTGAGATTTTGCGCGCAGCATCCTCAATCTCTTCTTCACCAGTCAGGAACAGCAGTATATCACCATCATCCTCCGTAGCATGAATTTGCAAGACAGTGCGAATGGCGGCCTCCACATAGTCCTGCTCAGGCTCAGGAGTATAGAAAATCTCGACTGGGTGAGTACGACCGGGAACCGCAAGAAGAGGAGCATCGTTGAAGTAGCGCTGGAACTTTTGGGCATCCAGGGTGGCAGACATGATAATGATCTTCAAATCTGGTCGACGTTGTACGACTTCTTTGAGAAGACCCATGAGGACATCAGTGGCCATGGTTCTTTCGTGGGCCTCGTCCAGAATGATAGTGCTGTAGCGGTTGAGATTGTGGTCATTCATTGCTTCTCTCAACAGCATACCATCCGTCATGTACTTAAGACAGGTCTTGGGGCTCGTCATGTCTTCAAAACGGATGCTGTAACCCACTTCCTCTCCAAGCTTGACATCTAACTCAGCAGCCACACGTTGCGCTACTGACATAGCAGCCACACGTCGAGGCTGGGTACAAGCGACCATCTTGCGCTGGCTTTGCGGCTGATCATCGAACAGGACGAACTGAGGGATCTGGGTAGTTTTACCGGAACCAGTCTCACCGACAAAGACTAGAATCTGTGACTGCTGGTAGAGTCGAAGAAACTCATCTCTTAAATATGAACATTAGAGGTCGCTCACTTGTAAATAATCGCGATTAAGAGAAGAGAACTTTTGTACTTACCTCTGCGCATGGACGGGAAGATCGCGCCGAGTTTTTAAAATCGAGAAATATTTGCTGGAGTATGGCTGGCCGCTGAAAGGGTTGATATCCCCATCTTCGATTTTCTGTGCCTGAGCGGCAGTCGACTGATGTCTTTTCACTTTGGCAAATGGCGAATCCTTATCTGCAGCCCATTCGTTGCCGTTCGAGGAAGCGTCCGCATACATATGAGCCAGGTACGGATTGTCCTTGGGATCTGTGCCAGCTTTATCCATCTTTTGACGCTTAGCACGCGAACCGTCTTCGGAGTCAGAGCGGCGATCGACCATGGCGTGTAAAGGGTAAAAGAAGGACGGGGGGCCAGAAGTTGTTCGTGCAGTTGAGTCTCAAGTACTCGACTCCGCAAGTCAACTTTATTGACGGATTGAAAAAAAAGTATTCCTGATAAGGCAAGTCGGCCGCACATCGCCACAGCTGCTCCGTCTCCATTTCACATTCACCGCTTTTATATTCTGCCGCCACTTTGACCCCACGAACAGGTAAGGGACTGAATGATGGGATGGATTAAATCGCGACTCAGGGTTAAGACAGGGTAGGGTCGATCTCTTAAACATTTGGTGAGGGGTGAATGACACTCACTAGTCCGGGTATATCTATTATCTCTTCTTTTCTTCTCAGAATCGTTCCGGAATGGTATTCAGAACTTATCTTGAATCCATGCTCAATTGACCTGATATGCGGAACTAATCCTCCACACAGATACCGTGTCAAGAATAATCTCTCTCCAAAATCTATAATTGATTTCAGTCTCTCCTATCTTACGCGGAAACTGAATCGACGCTTTGAGCATACTGTGACATATTTATTTATTTATTTTTATTTTTATTTTTATTTTTTTTTTGCAAATTAAAGAGGAATTTTTATTGTGACATTGGAAAAGTTCGTTTTGTTTACTAACATGGAAGGCTTCAGCAACCCAGAGGATATGGGTCCTAGTTTTTGCATTGGACAACATGAGAGCAAACGCACAGTGCCGATTACGACTCAGGTCGTCCAGGCAGCACACGAAAGCAATGTATGAATGTCAAAATTCCGATCCCCCGTTCTGTGTGCTAACGTCTACTCTCGATCAGTATGACATGCTTACCGCCCCTATAACTACATCTCATTTCCATTCCCGGGTCCTCAGTATGCTCTCTTCGCACCTGTCCAATGTACAGGCAGCTTCTCCTGATGTTCATGGAACTATGGCCACGACGCAAAATACACGGCCCCTGGTCATTCCGCCGTTGGCACCTTCGGATACCCATTTGACTCCTAACGAAGCAATGACCCAGGTTGTGGGCGTGACAAGCTCATGGATCGATCTTTGTTCGCCAGACCCATTGATTGCAGATATATCCCGCCAGGTCCTCATGTTGGAGGTCGCTTATGCAGCCTTTTGTGGTATCGGATACCTTCTGATCCCGGGCCCTAAACTGCACCACAAGGGCCTGCACTCAGAAGGCGTAGCGTATTACGCAAGAGCGATACAGGATGCCATCAGCGTTGGTCCTTATATTCAATTTAACATCTGGCTGGGAGCAGTTGATAGTCCGGATCTCGAGGTCGACGAGATGGGCGACCTAGCTCCCCTTGCCCGGGAAGAATACCTTGTAAATTCGGACGAGAGACAACTACCGAAGGAGGACCCATATGGAACTTGGGAGGCTTGGGATACCATCAGGCGAACTTGTAAATATCACTCAAGGCTTTTCGTAGGTAAGAATGCATCGCCCGTCATTCCACAGGCAACTCTTGGGTTTCTGCTTTTATCAGTTGGGTTAGGCTACGTGTATGATGCTAAATCAGTTTTGCTAGCGCTCTCGTTACAGAAACACCTCCCTGCGATGTCTGTCCAATCTCGGTGGCACTCAGAGCCGGTTCGCCTGCTTACATTTAATGCCAATTCCTTCATCAAAAATCAAAAGGGTTACCCCGTTTTATCCAAAGCCCATCAATCTTTGATCGCTCGTTTTATGCGTCTTCGAAGCCCGCCATGGATTCTTCTGTGCGATGTCGGTACTATCCCAGGTGTAGACGCTGACAATTCTCATGCCACCAACCTAGAGGGCGCCGAATACCCGAGTCTCGCACAAGCAGCAGTTTCCAACAAGAAGCATTACGACCCCACACCCCATCTTTCATACATTCGAAATCTTCAGCAGCGGCAGCCAGCTCGAACTGCTATCGAGAGGTTCGGTGTAGGCTACCAGGACTATCTGCAAGCCCCGCTGCAGCCACTGACAGTCAACTTGGAAAGTATCACGTATGAGGTCTTTGAGAAAGACCCTATTAAGTACGAATGGTATGAACGCGCTATTGCAAAAGCCTTGAAGGACTGGGCAGAGCAGAAGAAGCCCACCTCGAACCCAGATGGCCGAGTTGTTGTCGCTGTGGTAGGCGCCGGCAGAGGCCCGCTAGTCACCCGAGCTCTTAAAGCGAGCGCCGAAACAGGCGTTGATATTGACATGTGGGCTGTGGAAAAGAACCCTAATGCCTTCGTTCTCCTCCAACGTCATAATGCTACTATATGGGGAGGAAAAGTCACCCTTGTTCAGTCGGACATGCGAAGTTGGAAAGGACCTCGAGTTGAGAAAAAGCTCTCTAGTTCGCAACCCTCAGCACCGGTGGGCCAGTCTCTCGGCATAGAAGATTCAATGCTTTACGACGCGGAGGCCGACCCGAAAAACAAAACACAAGCTTCTGAGGCGACAGCCCATAACCCTGTTCCCGAGCTTATGCCTACTACTATTGATATCGTGGTTTCCGAGTTACTTGGCTCATTCGGTGATAACGAGCTTTCCCCTGAATGTCTAGACGGCATCACTCATCTTATCAATCCGGTTCATGGCATATCTATTCCCGAGTCATATACAGCCCATCTCACACCTATTTCAGCCCCGAAGCTTCATGCTGATGTTGTTCATCAAACAATTTCCAACCCTGCAGCCCCAGAAACTCCGTACGTGGTGATGTTGCACGCCGTCGACTTTCTCTCTACGAACCAGCCTACCATGCTGGGCAACACCACTGGCGAGGGCAGCTACCACAGCAATGTACGGTCCTCCATATCGACACTCCCTGGAAGCGAAACTCCGGCTCCGTTTGTACAGACTGCGTGGTCCTTCTCCCACCCTAATAGGCATATCCCTCCACAGTCTCCCTCCACATCGACAATCTCCAATGCGCATAATGTGCGCCGGACGCGCTTGGCTTTTCCTACCCAGAACCGTGGAGTTTGCCACGGTTTAGCTGGTTACTTTGAGACCGTCTTATACCGGGATGTTGAACTTTCGACTAATCCCGTTACCATGGACAGTAAGAGCGCGAATATGATCAGCTGGTTTCCGATCTACTTCCCCCTCAAGGTGAGCAATTACATTTCCCTCTAGAGCAGAGGGACCAAAAAAAGCTAATGAGTATCACATAGACCCCCCTCAATGTTCCTGATAATGGTGAGGTGGTGGTAACGATGTACAGGCAAACGGATGATCGGAAAGTCTGGTACGAGTGGATGGTCGAAGTCTTTGCTCTTGAAGGCCACATGGAACCCCCGGCCCCAGAGTACATCGCTCCTGTTATGAGCGGCGCCCGAGGCGGTTCTCCTAGTGCCGAAGGCAAGCCGCAACAGCGGAAAAGCAGCGGCCGTAGTGGGATGCGCCGTGTGAAGGTGGGGATGAGTGAACTGCACTCGAGCATCAAGGAGGGGTGCCTGATGTGAAACAGCCGATTATGGTTGTAGTAGACTTAGGCCGTGTGAATTCCATCATCTGTCATGTGCGGATGACGTCGTCTCGCAAACAGGAATATGGAGAACACAGTGATTTGCAGGAGATAGAGCAAATACAGTTTTTCTGAGTAGTAGCATGGTTTGGGTATCAATACCTCCACCAACTGTGTTTCCTTATTGATCGAATATACTTTTGTATCCTAATCATGGCTTGTACTCAACGAAACTCACTGGATAACCAAACGATCAAAGCTATGGAGGGGGAAGGGAGCTGTGTATGCCCGAGCATGCATGCGTCCACCTCAGTTTCCCCAAGTTATGATCAATACTCATAGTGGTGGTTGATGATTCAGCCTCTTGTGCTACCGATAGGCGCCAAAGAGTTGAGTCAGGTGAACGAGCTTGGGCCAAACGGAAGGCAAACCGTGAACAGGGCGCGCATGGATAAAAGCAAACCAGACACGGAGTACACTGGATGCAGTTAGTTACACCTGCACCTACGGGACACCTGTGCTTTGTACGTTTCGCTCCAAGAAGAAGGGGGGTGCAGATCAAGGGTGTGGTTGAGCAGCAGGAAATCAATAGTGCGACGAAACATGCAAAAGAAGGGGTCTTGGAAGTCTTGGTACGCTGACGCTGTGGGATTGTTGAGTTATTGGCAACGTGGGTGGGTGGACCGCTATGGTTGGTGACGCTGATCACCGAAGGCTGTGGTTGTTATCGGTGCATGGGATGTGGTTCAAAGGTTCTGATTAGATGTTTTGATTACCTGTAGAGTATTGCTTGGTTCTTCAAGCAACGTCTTGGTTCGACTACCAGTCTATCCGATATCAGTTGATCTAGTAATTTTACCGAATCGGAGAATCTTGATTGGTATTCTTTTTAGCATTTAGAAGGCGGGAGATTCTCCTTTGAATTCGCACAGCGGACTACGCGGTAACTTATATCAACCGTCTTAAGTAGGTTAGTTATATGTACTTTGAGAGGTCCGAGGACTGTTGAGACAACCTTGTCTTGGGAGCGAAGGGGGAGTAGTGCTTCTAGAAACTCGCCTTATCATAAGCCTCGGAGTTAGCAAGGCGTCCGCTGGACGCCCGAAGGGGAGTGCCGAGTCCTCTTTCAATGAGTCTCCCTCCTGGATGACCGTATCGTTACAGGATCGTCACAGTCAGATGCATCACCGATACTCGGGATCTTACAGAGTTACTTCAGCAATACACCGGTTATTACCCATACTCCGGCCAACCATTTTGCATTCCGATCACCTGTAAGACCGCGTACCAAACGGCCGGGGCCCGTCACCATTCCTTCAGGTGTACTCCGGAGTATGATGCATCTTGCGAGGCAAAAAAAAAAAAAAAAAGGGTTCCCATACTAAAAAACTAGTCTATCAATCATTCATACACTTACTCCACACAAGGAGGAAAAAGAAATTACACTCCCACACACTTGCTCTTCTCCCTTCCACCTGTAAGATCTGATTATTTCTATTCTTATCAACGGACGTCTGCACCCGCCTCGAATTTTCTTCCTTCCCTTACTCTATCTCCATGACTGCATGTGTGATTCGTCGCTCGACCATCGCTCCGAAGGTCGTGGGTTGACTTACTACTACATACTTGTACCCTCTATCTACGAACTGAACCTAATTACGTCTTGCTGTCTCCGCAATCATAAATTGCCTTGACAGCTTCCGTTATCCTTCTACTTGTTCTTCTCCTTATTGCCGATCGATTTCCTTACTCCCTCCATCTTACACTCACCAAATACCGACTTGATTTCCTTCGCGCCTTTACTCTCCCGCCACATACAGACCTGAAATGGTTCACTCAACGGGCGAGGAACGCGCTGTACACCTCACACGAGAGGCGATTGAATTAGTAGACGCTGGTCATCGTGAAGTATGTGTGATCCATATCTCATTTCTTCATGCCACTTTCCTCGGCTTCTTTGGTTTTCTTTGGCTTTCTAATGCTCTCCGCGTTTCTTCCATTGTCCCGCTTTGTCAACACTCTGTGTGGAGTTCTTATCGATAATCCGCTAACGTATTTCTTTTCAACCCGATCACAGGCTGCCTCGCGGAATCTCCGAGAAGCCCTCTCTTTAGCCCCAGACAATCCAGCTGTCAGAGAAGCTTTTATCAAAATCCAGGAAGAGGAGACAACTGGTCACCATTTGCTCGATCTTTGCCGGCGTTACACTTCTCGCAAAGACGAAAGTGCTGGAAAGGATGCCGCCCTTTATTTGCGCACGGATGGTCTCAAACCTCCGGAGGAGGTCGCCTTAGAATGTGCCAAACTTTTGCTAGCGCACAAAGCACATGCGTTATCTTCGTTGCAAGATGATATCATTTCAGGGTTGGTTCGGCAAAATGCCAGCGTTCGTCAGTTTTTCTCAGACAAGCTGCAGATTTCCGTGACTACGTTCTTTGATGAAATGTACGATAGAGGCGACGGCGCTGCAGTATGTCTCGATACCGTCGTCTTGGATCCCTCAGTATGGCCTTCTGAAGCTGCTCGCTTGCATTGTGAGCGCGAGCTTTTCCTGTTGTTCATCGCTAAGCTTATGGAGTCAGGCCATGACTTAGACGGTCGCTCTCTCAAGGGAATCGCGCGACTCCTTGCTGTTGATGCGTCTAAGTTGCAGGACCAAGTTGATGATGAAGAATTGGATGTAATCCTGTCCTCCTTGGATCATAGGCTGCCCCTTGAATGGAGGAGTCAAGCTACTTTAGCGACCGTCAAGTATCTTGAAGCCTCCCAGGAAACCGGACAGAACCGATTCACAAAGCTCATCTCTGCCAAACTTTCCAAGGCGCGCGTTGATGACCATATCGTCGCGTTTTCGGCTACAGCCGCTGTTTTCCCTGTAATCCCGGAGATCGCGGCTACTCTGTTTTTATCGGAAGAATTCATGGCCTCCCTAACACCCGTATCTGCTAGAGATGCCAAGCGCCGGAGGGTGGAGGTTTCAGTGTTGGAACTCCTGAATGCTGCTTGTATCAACAAGGCCTGCCGCGAAGCCATCACCAAGAATTTCTCTGATTGGCTTTCTCACACATTGACGAACGGCAGCGACGAGTCGTCCGAATTGGCAGCGGTGGTATTGGCTAAGATACGCGTTTCTGACAAGGATGCATCGGGATTTAATGGTCAGGTGCAGGGTGACGATGCCAGCGTTGCTGAATTGGTTGGACGGTTTAAGACTATAATGTCAAGTCGCAAGGGTGAGAATGTTCAAAACGTGATTGAGGGCTTGGCATACTCATCCGTGAAGCCCATTGTGAAGGAACAACTTGCCAAAGACTCTACTTTTCTGCGGGACCTGGTCAAGGTCTTGCATGAGAACTTGAGCGATTCGTCGGTTCTCTATGGCGGCCTAATGATAATTGTGAACATCACCCAGTTCCTTCCGAATATGAGTGAAGAACAAAAGAAGATGTCTCAACTGAAGTCGTATGCAGAGGCTTCTCCCGATGCCCGGGCGGGCCCAAATCCCCTCGAGAAGGACGAAAACGTTATCTCTCGTTGCAATACCGCCATTGAAGCTGGCATCATGCCGCTTTTTATTGAGTGCAGCAAATCAAACCTCCCCTCTGTCCAGGGCCTTGTAAGCAAGATCATGCTTTCACTGTCCCGGAATCAGAAAACCAGAGGAACCCTAGCCCAGCAGGGCGGTGTCAAGCTATTGCTCAATATTGGCAATTCGAGACAGGGGAGCTCTGGTTCGATTACAAACGAAGCTGTGCCTAATGCCTCCCACGCACTGGCCCGCATTCTTATCTCCGTGAATCCGTCACACGTGTTCCCTCCATCTGGATTTCCGCAGGTCACTTCGGCTATCCGACCCTTAACTACACTTCTGGTGGTCCCTGAGACTTCAGCGGATCAGCCACGCGATCTTTTACCCATTTTTGAAAGCCTCCTTGCGCTCACGAACCTCGCTTCTCATCCGGATGAAAGTGCGCCGGATGCCATTGTCCGACAGGCATGGTCAGTGATCGAGGATTTGCTGCTTTCCAACAGCTCCTTGATTCAACGGGCCGCATGTGAGTTAGTGTGTAACCTGATGACTTGTGAGGCTGGGATAGTGAAGTTTGCGGACGGCTCTAAACGGGCAGGGCAACGCCTGCATATTTTGCTAGCTCTTACTGACACTGATGATATTGCAACCCGGAGAGCCGCTGGAGGTGGTCTAGCTATGCTCACTGAATTTGATTCCGTGGTCGCCGCCGTCTTGGACAAGCCTCGTGGTGTACCGCTCTTGCTACGTCTTTGCCAGGAAGATGATGAGGGGTTGTTGCACCGAGGGGTGGCATGCGTGCGGAACATGAGCTGCATCGCATCAGGTGATATTGGCCGGCGCGCAAAAGAAGCCCTGAAGAAGGGCGGTGCGGTTGATATATTGACTAATGTGCTGAAGAAGTCGAGGAATACCGCGGTCCTCCAAACAGGGGTTGAAGCATTGAAGCCTCTTGTTGAGTGATGTTTTCGAATCATTTTAGTTCCATATGGGTTCCCAGTCTGTCCTATTTCTTGCTTGTTAGCGATTGATTGTTTTATTCAGGCGTGGGCTAGGGATGACTTGCTATGGTGTTTTTTGTTTTTCTGGCCTGCGTATCGGCGTTGCTTGTCCTTTGTAGCTTCTGCAGGCAGCTTCTTCCTATTTCCCATTCTGTTATCTTATGATTTCCCCGGTTTATGAGGGCCAGGAACGGGCTCGGTGTCATTTTCAGTTTGGCCATGAGGGCACATGCGCTTTACCGGGTCACTCATAGACCAGAATGACTGATGTTTGTGATGTATTCTCAGTGGGCTACCTAGAACGTTACATGATACAGTTTCGATATGAGTTTTCAACTAAAGATTCTTTTCCCCTACTCACTTGCCATGCCACTATCCACTAGTATTATCTCACGAACCCCAGACCGTCTCCACCCTGAACGATACCCATGCTCTTACTCCTAGCACGTCTCAATTTCTGCTTCCTCTCATCCGAAACACCCTGCGCCAACAATTGCAAGCCTCTCCCCGCCATCCACTCAGCATCAGCAAGGACCGACTCAACCTCCGCCTCCCAAAACCCCGTCCTCGGATAATATACACTCTCAGGCTTCTCCCACTTCCAAACGGGCGCCAGTCCACCCCTCAACAAATCCTCTGACTCGACCCCAAACACTGTGATAACAAATATGCGAAAGTCAACCTTCCCACAATTCCTACTACTAGTCGTATCACTACCACCACCTCCTCCTCCTCCTCCTCCTCCTCCTCCTCCTCCTCTCAGCTGAGAAATAGCATCATCAACAGCCTCCCGATTCCTCTTCCCTTCAACCAGTGACGCAAAATAACGATGCAGAGCAAGAGAATCACAGACGCCCTCTACGGGCGGAGGAAAAGTCCCTACCTCTTCGAATCCGCGAATATAGTGTAATTGGGCCTCAGTGAGCTTTGTTAAGATAGCGATGGATGAGTCGTGGTTCCAGTAGTGGAGGACCGTGGGGAGGATCTGGGCGTCTTTGCGGGTGATGCTGATGAGGAGGGTGTGGGGGCGAATGTGTGTTTTAAGGTCTGGGTCTTCCAGCTGCGTGGTGGTGGGTTGTATTGCCTATTGTTTAGTTTCGGGGGTTTTGTTAGATTTGGTTTTACTTGGGTTTTCGGGTATGGGATAGTATGGGATGGGTGGACTAGGGGGATGTACATTTACTAAGGGGCTTTGTTCGGGTGGACCTGGATATGGTGGTGGTGGTGAGGTTGCCATCTTGTTTGTATACTTGGGGGGGTTTGTGGCGTGTCTTTTTTCTGGTCCTGGGGGTTAGGAGTTAAATCACTTATATATAGCGCTTACATCCTTGTTTACCTTGGATCTTAGTTCCGTTCTACTCTTTTGTAGGGGCTTCTTCTTGTTACTGGTTTTATATACATCACTTAAACATTTTTCTTTATATCAGAGACACGGATACCTCAAGAAGATATACTGGAAAATGAATTCCATTACTTCAAAATGCTACGATCGGCGAAGTCTGGAATCCAGTAAATAAATCGTAAACATTAAAACAAGGATCATATGCTCCGATAACCGAGCCCCTCATCTCGATCACGGCTGACGCTGCAAACCGACGTCAGAGTCGGAGAGCCGGGATGACCATGGGCGGTGATGTGCTCCTATTAGTCTTATGCATTATTGAGTTAAACGCAACGCCCCCCCGCCCTCCCGGCCCACCACTGTACCTTTGCACTTACCGTACTTTGTGAGTTGGTGAAACAGGTTTCAGATTATGGTAGGTATGTACAGTACATGTGCCGAGATAGAGTGAAAGCCAGGAATATGGTTGTCACCGGGTAGAGGTAACGGTGTCTATTATGACGCCGACAGGCGGTTATTTTGGTGGATAAAGTCCAGCATGATCAGCTGAATGGAACGTTGGGGAGGGGGAATGATAGCGGTTAGTCTAGAATAAGGAAGCTACACAGTACGTGCGTTAGGTGAGGAACGATTGACGATGGTGGGCAAATAGTTCGACTCTTATAGAGTGGAGGCTGGCCAATCAGGGCGGTCCATTGCTTCGGTGTACTGGTCATGCCGACATCTCGTACCTTAAATACCCATCGTTGGTGGGGTTGTCGTCTGGAAGTAAAGGAAAGAATGCCGGTGATAAAAAACAGAATTCAATTGGCACCGTGACGAGTGATGCATCGAGCTGGTGGCTGTTTGTCCATGTGAGGTGGGAAATGATAGTACTCCAGAATGAGTGTGGCAGGGATTGAGAGAGTACGGGGCAGAATTAATGTAAGACTCGGTAAATGATTGCTCTCGAAAATCTCAAAAATAATCTCGTTCATAGCTCAATACTAATAGTACTGAATACTAGCTTCTATAAAGTCCTGGTATTATGTCTGCCCTATTTTGGGTTGTGGATCTAGGTATATTTTGTGAATCCGTGCAACATAGTAAGCAATCAAAGTGGGCGACACTTGACAACATGGCCAAAGGAGTCAACTCCTTTTCTCCGCACCAGAAACAGAGCAAGGGGGAAAGAAGTCATTCAGAAGAACCCTAATTTCGAAAATTGTTCCATAACTCTCTTCTTTTCCCCAGAGCCTCTTGATCCCTTGCTGACTCCTCCATACCTCTTGGTTTGTTTTAAGGGGTAGGGAAGGGCATGTGACATGCAGGGAAAACGCACGAGAAGGGCCAGAGGATTCGAAATGGAAATGGAACACGACGGTGTCCCCACCCCTCTTAACTCATCATTTTGTTTTGAGGGAGCTGGTGATGGGGAATGAAAGAGATTGACCAACTGAGTTCCACCGGCGGTATGCAACACGAACTCTGATTTGGCCTGTGGAAAGCTCGGATCAAAGTCTCGACCACCTTGAGCAAATGGGATGTTGTCTTGATGTCTCTCGTCTTCTCCGACGCTCCACGGCCCCTCTCCCGTCCCCGGGAGTATGGATCATGGAGGGAAGCATTTATTGTTTAATTCATTATGATACGGAATAAGCCCTGGAAGCCGTGGGAGACTATATATAGCGGTGGCGATCCGGAATTGAGGGACCTTGACAATTCCTTCACAAACCCACATATAAGTTAATTGGTTCTGACACATTCCCACTCGAATTACTTTATTGTGTCCTTTGCGACCGGGATTCTCACCTGAATTACGTTGCATTCACCTACGACCGTTCTACTACTGGATACGGAGGCTGAGGGCAAGTGTTGAATTAACCCTACCGTCTCTTCCCATCTGTAAGGTACAATTTTTTTCGCTGGTCCCGAGATCGAATCCCCCGGAAACAAACAGTGTGGCGCGAGCAAATCAGAGATCGCCCGCCTTGCACGCCGAGCATTAATTCGCGGAGCTCCATTAATTTTTGATCCTGAAGATTTAACGTTCCGCCTTCCCGGGCGTGTGCTCTGTTTGGTGCATCTCACTCGTTATTGCCCCTGTTGCCACTTCTGTTCTGTCGTTCCCTGGTTCCTTTATTACTTCCTCCGAAGGTATTGGCCTCTGTTTCCTCCATGTGCCCTGTCGTTGAGCCTCTCAGAGATCCACTTGGTGGATGTCGGGCTTAGTATACCTTGACCTCCCTCCCAGTAAAGAAAGTCAAATTCTTTTTTCTTTCTTTTTTTCTTTTTCTTTTATTTTTTATTCACCGTATCCGAGCTCCCTTACCGCACATTCTCTCCATATCGGCGTGTCTCACCGCAATTTTCCTGACTGGTTGAGCTTTTCACGTGCTGACTCCGTCCACGCTATAGTATCATCTTGGACACTCCGCTCTCTCTTCCACACCTTTGCGTGTATTGCCATCTACGCGTTTCAACATCCTTTCTTAATTCATTATAACCGTGAGAGCCTTTTCCATCTTGGCACAGAGACAGACATCTTGCGCAATGGCTTCTTTGTAAACTGACAAATGGCGCTGCCGCATTCGAAGTTTGAACTGTCCTTTTCCTTTGTCCTTTTCGAATCCGCCTCTAGTTCTTGATCTATTCCGCCACTTATCTATATTTTTTTCTTCTCAAGCCAGTATCTGAAAGGGATTGTGTAGAAAAAAGCTTTGGAGGTCTTCAACTGAGACACTGTTATCGAGAGGAGCTTACAGCCTGCTCATCTTCCTTGATACAGAATATACCCTATTGTGAACCGCCAGAAGAAAAGCACACCATGAAATTCGGACGCAATCTTCCTCGGAATGTCGTTCCTGAGTGGAACTCCTCCTATATCAAGTACAAGGCGTTGAAGAAGCTTATCAAGTCGGCGGCAGAAGATGTAAAGGCTGGCCATGAGGCAGACCTTGCCGGTGAGCGGTTTCTTTGATCTCCACGTATCTGGACCGCGTAGCGGTCTTCCTGACCTTATCCCCTAGGATTCTTTTACTCCCTCGATCGAAATCTCGAGGATGTCGACTACTTCTATAACAAGAAGTACTCGGATTTTGCTCGCCGCCTTAAGTTGTTAGAGGACCGGTATGGCCAATCTTTGGATGCTGGCCACCGTCTTGACTCCGAGGAGGTCGAGGACCTTTTGGCTGCCTTGCTTGAGCTACGCGGTCAGCTGCGGAAATTGCAGTGGTATGGTGAAGTCAATCGCCGTGGGTTCATCAAGATCACCAAGAAACTTGATAAGAAAGTAGGCGTCCATGCGCAGCGGACTTATCTAGAATCGAAGGTTGATCCATCCCCATTCGCCTCGAATGCGCGAGTCACCGAGTCATTGAAGAAAATCAATGACTGGCTCTCGATACTTGGTGAGCAGAAGGTCTCAGACGATGCCAGCTCCACTCGCTCTTCCCTCTCACTGAAGAGGGGTCCGGCTCGCCCGCACTTAAACCTGCCCTCGAGTCTGCTTGTCGCTGTCGACGAAGCATTACGCAAAGATGACACACACGTCCTCTTGGAATTGCTGGAAGACCTTAGAGCTTCTACGGACAATCTTGGAGGAAACATGTTCCCCAAAGTCCTCGAAAGCCTTTTGCAGCGGTCGATTTACTACCGCTCGAAATCTTGCATTTCCGCCCTGCTCGACAGAATGGATAGCCTTGATGATGAAGATGATATCAACAAGCGTAACTGCATTCACAGATTAGTGATCTCGATCGGTCGGGCACAGTCCACAACTGACTCGGAGGAGTCAGCCTCAATGGTCCTGGACTTCCCCCTTGAAACCTCCAATTATATTACACCCGCTGCCCTACCAACACTGCAGCCTCCTCGGAATGTAGTGAAGGAGTCGGATCACCCTCAGCATTTGGATAGATCAGATCCGTCGGTGTCGCTTCTACAACACTTGCTAGACCAGCTCCGACCTGAGCAACGAACTGCTTTGCTTTCCAAGGATATCTCGGGTCGTACACCTTTGCACTATGCTGCTCAGTAT